TGATAGAACTGAAAAAATAAATCCAAGCCTCCAATTGCAGTACTGAGAAATGTTTTGGTTAAAATCTTGAATGATCAAAAGAAGATGAAAGTGATAGACAGAATCACCATACCCCCTCAAAAAAAAAAGTGGTTGACACCGAAAATTTTCAGAAAGCATCATATGAACAAAAGCCAATGGTAATAAAAGAAATTAAAAATATACTGAAGGTGCTGGCAAAAAATAAGGTCCCAGGAACTGATGAAATATCAATTGATAAGTTTCAAATAACAGATTCAGCTCTTGACGTGCTCACCAGTCTATGCTTGAAATCCGGAGGATAGCTGCTTGGTTGACAGACTGGAAGAGATCCATGTTTCTTCCCTTTCTCAAGAATGGTGGAAATTATCACATAATACCCCTAGTATTACAGGTAAGCAATATATTGCTAAAGATTATTTAGGAGGAAAAAAAACTCTAAACCAGTATATTGGGAGAGATGTGTCAGACGTTTAAGTGGGGCTTAGAAGAGACTGTGGCTCCAAGGGCTATCACTGCTGACATCAGATGAATCTTGGTTGAACTTAGAAAACCGAAGAAGAATGTCTGTCTGTGTTTTATTGACTATGTAAAGATATTTGACTGTATGGATCATAAAAAATTATGGCTACTATTGAGAAGAATAGGAATCTGAGAACATCCAGTTATGTCATATAAAAACTGTAGCTAGACCAAGAAGCTGTTGTCCAAACAAAGCAAAGAAACACTTGTGTAGTTTAAAAGCAAAGAAATATATACTCCAGGGTTGTATCCTTTCTCTATACCTATTCAATTTGTATTCTGAGCAAATCATTCCAGAAGCTGGACTCTATGAAGAAGAAGATGGCATCAGTATCAGAGGAAGATTCATCAACAACTTGTATTATGCAGATGACACAATTGTGCTTGCTAAAAAGGAGAACTTGAAACTTTTGCTGCAGAAGATCAACAACTATAGCTTTCAATAGTGATTGTATCTAAATACAAAGAAGAAAATAATCTTTACCAGTGGATCAATAAATAAATGACATTGTGATAAATGGAGAAAAGTTTGAAATTGTTATTGATTTAGTCTTATTTGAATTTGCAATCTGGGTACCAGCAGTAAGAAAATTCATAAGTAAATATAGTGCATTGGGCAAGTCCATTGTTAGAGATCTTTCTAAAGTTCAGAGGAGTAATGAGGCTAATTTGAAAACTAAGGTGTGCTCAATTAAGGCTATGGTCTTTTCAATCACTTGCTATGTTTCTGGGAGCTGGACAATGAATAAAGATGACAGAATAATTGATGCTTTTGAGTCATGCTGTTGGAGAATAATACTGACTGTTCCATGGACTGCCAAAAGAACAAATATGTCTTGAAAAAAAGTGATACCAGAGCACTCTCTGGAGGCAAAAATAATGACGCTTCATCTCACATACTGTGGGCATGTTGCTAGGAAAGACTATTCCCTGGGAAGGGACATCATGGGAAGCATGGAGAATCAGTGAAAGAGAAGAAGGTCTTTAAGGACATGAAATAGGCTCAAGTGTGTCAGGGATTGTGAGGATGACACAGGATAGGACAAAGTTCAGATGTGTTGTTCATAGGGATGTTATGAGTTGTACTCAACTCAAAGGCATCTAACAACAACAACAATTAGATAGGATTATTATAAGGTATATCTTGAGCCATTTTTTTTCACATGGATTTCACCTGATGGTATGACAGGAATCAGATAGATTACATCTGCGGAAGGAACTGCTGGAGAAGCTCAATATCAGGTGTGAAAACGAGGCCCGGAGCTGATTGTGGAACAGACCACCAAATACTCATATGCAAGTTCAAGCTGAAGCTGGGGAAAATGAAACCAAATCCACGAGAACCAAAATATAATTTTGAGTCTATCCCACCTGAATTTCAGAACCATCTCAAGAACAGGTTTGAGGCCTTGATCACGAAAGAATGAAGACCAGATGAGTCGTGGGAGGATATCAAGGGTATAATCCAAGAACAGTGCAAATGTTCATTACAAAGACAGAAGAGGAAGAAAAGACAAAAATGGATGTCAGAAGAAACTCTGAATATTGCACTGGAGCGCAGAGAAACCAAAGCACAAGGAAGAACTCAAGATACTAAAGAGCTTAACAGAAGATTTTCAAAAGGCAGCACGGAATGACAAAGCAAAATAGTACAATGAAATGTGCAAGGAGTTGGAGTCAGAAAACCAAAAGGGCCGAACTCGCTCAGCATTTCTTAAGCTCAAGGAACTGAAGAACAAATCCAAACCTCAAGTTGCTATAATCAAGGATGCTTTAGGCAGAATATTAAATGATCCAGGAGGTATCAAAAGAAGATGGAAAGAATATACTGAGTCATTGTATTGAAAGTAATTAGCAGACAAAGAAGAATTTAATGAAACAACATATGAGCAAGAGCCTATGGTGATGAAGGAAGAAGTTAAAGCTGCTTTGAAAGAAATAGCAAAAAAATAAGGCCCCAGGAATAGACGGTATACCAATTGACATATTTCAGCTAACCGAAGCTGCCTGGGACGTGCTCAACAAGTTGTGTGCCAAGAAATCTGGAGAACAACAACTTGGTCAACTGACTGGAAGAGATCTATATTTGTTCCCATTCCAAAGAAAGGTGACCCAACTGAGTGTGGAAACTACAGAACAGTGTCATTGATTGCACATGCAAGCAAGATTTTGCTGGATTATCCAAAAACGATTGGAGCAGCACATCAGCAGAGAATTGCCAGAAGTCCGGGTGGGGTTAAGACGGGTTCGTGGTACTAGGGATATTGTAGCTAATGTTAGATGGATATTGGCTGAAAGCAGGTAGTACCAGAGGAATGTCTATCTGTGCTTCGTTGACTATGCAAAGGTGTTTGACTGTGTGGACCATAACAAACTATGGCTGACTCTGAGAAGAATAGGAATCCCAGAACACTTGATCGTGCTAATGTGAAACTTATACTTGAACCAAGAGGCAGTCGTCAGAACAGAGCAAGGAAACACTGCATGGTTCAAAATTGGGAAAGGCATACGCCAGGGACGTGTCCTGTCTCTATACCTTTTCAACCTGTATGCAGAACAGATCATCTGGGAGGCTAGGCTCTATGAGGAGAAATGTGGCATCAGGATTGGTGGAAGATATATAAACAATCTGTGTTATGCAGATGACACAACCCTGCTTGCTGAAACTGAGGAGGACCTGAAGCGCTTGCTGCAGAGGGTCAAGGACTGCAGCCTTCAGTATGGACTGAGGCTCAATGTCAAGACAAAGATTCTCACCACTGGACCAATTGGCAGCATCAGTATGGATGGTGAAGAGAATGAGATTGTTCACAGCTTTAGTCTACTTGGCTCCACAATCAACACTCTTGGCACCAGCAGTCAGGAAATTAGAAGACATATTGCCAGGGGAAAGTCTGCTGTTAGAGACCTCTCTAAAGTACTCAAGAGCAACAGTGTGTCTCTGGAGACTAAGGTGTGTCTGGTACAGGCCATGGTCTTTGCAATCACTTGTTATGCATCAAAGCGCTGGACAATGGCCAGGGAGGATAAAAGGAGAATTGATGCTTTTTAGCTTTGGTGTTGGAAAAGAGTGCTGAGGGTGCCATGGACTGGTAAGAAAACAGATTCATTCTGGAGAGGGTTAAACCGGGCTGCTCCTTGGAGGCAAGGATTCTGAGGCTTCCTCTGACATACTTTGGTCATGTTGTAAGGAGGGACCGGTCCTTGGAGAGGACTAATCTATCCATCTGGGAGATGGATAGATTTCGTGTCTGGGGCAATCGGGATGAGTGTGTCGGAGACTGTGAGACTGGCACAGGACAGAGCAGAGTTTAGAGTTGTTGTACATAGGGTCGCTATGAGTCACAAGTAACTCAATGGCACATAACAGCAACAACAACAAAAAGAGTTTAACATAAGAGCAAAAGCAGAGAGAGAAAAAGAGAAATGACAAACTACACAAAGACCTCCCAGGAGCAAAATCTCAAAGAAGCACTTCCCAGAGACAAGCAAGAACTGACACAAAGTGAAAACCCTCCATTGGCGGTATCCTTCTGAATTTGAACTTTCAGCATCCTAAACTGAAAGAAAGTAAATGTCTATTTGTTATAATTATCCATTTGCGATATTTCTAACAGATAAGAAACAAGGCATAAATTCACTGCTGCCCCCTAAATTTATTAAGTCTTTCTAGTAATCTCTACCCTAGAAAGACAATAAGAAACTTTCAGAAGTCTTACATCCCTCCTTCATAACTTTTTCTTCAGAACCTAACATATCACTGATTTTACTGCATCAGTTTTTCTCTCTCACTCAACTTTTAAATAAAAAAGTAATGTAACTATGGCTGTGAAGTATGAGTGTTAACCAACGAGTTCGGCCCTTTTGATTTTCCGACTCTAGCTCCTCGCACATTTCATTGTAATATTTTGCTTTGTCATTCCGAGCTGTCTTTTGGAATCTTCTGTTCAGCTCATTAGCATCTTGAATTCTTCCTTGTGCTATGTCTTCTCTATGCTCCACTGCAATCTTCATAAGTCATAGTTTAGTAGTCCTATATTTTATAGTTACACCACTATGACTACTTGTGTTAACAGTTCAAAAAATCATTTTGAGGCTGTTCTACTCTGTAACACATGAGGTCACTATGAAATTGATTGATTTAATTGTGGCTAATAACAATGGTAATATAAACAATATAGTTGTTGTTTTTTTAAATGGTATGTGATAAGTATTACAATTTGTGGACAGAATTAAGGATATCCCGTCTCAAAGTCTTTCTTTTTATAAATCACTTACCTTATGTTACCCTAAAGAACCGAAGAATTTATGCTTGACATCAATATTGCTATATCTGGATGGTATTTTTAGAGTGTACAAAGAAAAGAATTGTTAAATTATAATTATGTTTAATTAAAAAGTTGAGGGGTAGATGAAGTGGTGGGTAAAGCAAATGGGGGGGGGAATAAGTTCCAACTTACATCACGAGTGGATTGCAAGCCTTTGCAATTCTCTGGACCTAAAAATTTCTTCATATTCTCTTTTACTTTTTCTTGTCTCTGTTTTGTGAAAATTTTCTCCTGCCTGCACAGAGTCATGCTAAATCGAAGGTCCGGGGATGAGCTAGTGAAGAAAAGAATTAAAGTTATGAGTCAATGCCAAGACCCTTGATTTACATCAACCCACTTCCCTGACGTTCCCAATAGCTACACTAATATATGTTTTCCTGTTCTCTCAAGCCATTTCCTAAGAAAAGATCTAAAGAAGAGCCAGAGTTACAGCTCTAGAATAATGTTGCAAAGTACCATTTCAGAATATAAGGTGTATGAGATACTTTCTAAAAGAACAAGCCATTAAACCTAAAGTTATACATTATTTATGTACATTTATATTGTTTGTTAGTAGGTAGCACCAAGTCAACTGTGACTCATTATGACTTACTGACACAGAAGCAGAGGGATTTCTCCCTCTCAGGAGCCTGGTTCATGAGACTGGACTATTGACAAGACTATAGGAGGGCAAAGCTGAAGAAAATAAAAACAAGTCCACCAGAACTAAAATACAACCTTGAATCTATGCTACCTTAATTACAAAACAATCTCCAAAACAATATGAGGTATTGAAAACTAATGGCTGCAGATCAGATGAGTTACAGGATGGCATAATAGATATAATCTATAAAGAGCAGCAAGTCATTACAAAGACAGAAAATGAAGACCAAAACTGATGCCAGAAGAGACTATGAGAATTGTGTGAGAGCATGGAGAAGCCAAAACAAAGAGAAGAAATGACGAGGTCAAAGAGATAAACAGGGATTGTAAAGGTAACTTGAGTCAAAGCAAACTATTAATAATGAAATGCACAAAGAGCTGGAGCCAAAGGATAAAGAGGGAAGACTTTGTTCGGCATTTCTCAAGCTGAAAGAACTGAAAAGTAAATTCAAGCCTCAAGCTGCAATACCATGAGATACTCTCAGAAAAATCCTGAATGATTCAGGAAGAATCAAAAGAAGATGGAGAGAATACAGTCACTGTACCAAATGAAACATTTGAAGTACCATATGAACAAGAGTCAATGGTAATAAAGGAAGAGATTCAATCTGCATTGAAGTCATTGGCAAAAACTAAGGCCCCAGGAATTGATGGGATACCAGCTAACACATTGCAACTAACGAATGCAACCACAGGCATGCTCATCAGTCTATGCTGACTGGAAGAGCTCCATATTTGTTTCCATTCCTAAGAAAGGTGATCCAATTATTAATAACAAATCCAACCTCTGGTGGCCTAATGGTAAGAATCTGTCTGCTATCCTGAAGGAATGCAGTTCAAATCCTCCAGATACTCTGCAGGAAAAGGATGGACAATCTCCTCTCGTATGATTAATTGCTTCTGAAAACCCACTGCAGTTATCTATGGGTCAGTTTTGACTCGACAGTACACAAGAACAACAGAAGCAACAAACAATATTGCTGAAGATCATCCAAAAATATCTAGAACTGAATATTGAGAGGGAACTGCCAGTTCAATTGAAGTCCAGATGAGATCAGAATACCAGAGACAGTATTGCTGATGTCAGATATCTGAAGCAGATAATACCACAATAATGTCTATTTATCAAATTGCTAGTCAATAAGCCTTTTATTTTAAGAACTACCTTCCCTCTGAAACTTGATTTGTGCCACTGTTAGAACCTCTACTTGGAATATTATTGCTTTTAATTTTTGACTCATGTACTTAAATTTGTTAGTTATATTTGTGTCTTCTAGGCTGCAACACTTCCATGATACATCTTCAAGGATATGGATATGTATGGCTAAACACAATTGATATTAGTGCATTTAAATTCCAAAATCAATCTCCACAATAGTCTATGTGCTTCCTATTGCCAAAGGGGCCCTTTAGAGTAGTGAAAGAAGATCTTCACCCTGAAACCTACAGCATCCCTTTTCAGCAGGAAGTAGCTAAGAGAATACACTGTCCCCTTTTCCTTATGAATCAGGGTGAAGTCTCTCTTAGGGAGGAGTGATAGGGAATGGCAAAGGACACACTGACAAAGGAGATTAATCAGAATTGGTTTTGACAAGCACTGTGGTAATGGGACAATTAAAACAGACTTTTAAGGAAAAAAAGAGAGGAATGAACTGGGGGGATAGAGAAAATAGTGCAACAAAGTATGAATGGAAATTCAAAATCTCTGTAAATGTACATTAAAATTAATAAAATAATTTTTTAAAGTGTAAAAAAAACAATGTCTATTTATGTTTTATTGATTGTTGTTATTGTTGTGTTCCATCGAATTGCTTGCAGCTCATAGGTCTAAACTCTGCCCTATCTAGAACCAATTTCACTGTTTCTGATACACCTATCCCTATTATTCTCATTACTTTGTCAATCCTTCTTTTAGGTCTTCTTTTCTTGTGCTGTCCCTTCTTCTCTCTAAACATGATTTCCTTCTTGAAGGACGATCCTTCCTGGCAACATGCACAAAGTATGTCAGTCAAAATCCTTGCCTCTAAGGAACAAACAGGTTTCACCTTCTCTAGAACAAAACGGTTGCCTTGGAAGTTCATTCTATGTTCAGTATTATTTTCCAACAACACAGCTAAGGCATTGATTCTTCTTTTGTGATCCTTATTCATTATCCTGAGAAGATGAGATGCTTTTCATACAGGCCATGGTCTTCACAATCACTTGTTATGCATCAGAGAGTTGGACAATGACCAAGGAGGATAGAAGGAGAATTGATGCCTTTGAGCTGTGGTGCTGGAGAAGAGTATTGAGAATACCATGGACTGCTAGGAAAACAAACCGATTCGTCTTGGAAAGGGTTAAACTGGGTGGCTCCTTGGAGGCAAGGATTGTGAGGCTCCATCTAACATACCTGGACATATTGTGAGGAGAGACTGGTCCTTGGAGAAGAACATCATGCTTGGGAGGATGGAGGGACAGTGCAGGAGGGCAAGGCCCTCTATGAGGTGGATTGATTCAGTGACTGGGATAATCGGGATGGGAGTGTCAGAGACAGTGCGATTGGCACAGGAGAGAGCAGAGTTTAGGGCTGTTGTACATAGGGTCGCTATGAGTCACAAGCGACTCAATGGCACATAACAACAACAACAACATTCATTATCCAGCTCTCTGGTGCATAGCAAGTAATTGAAAAGACCTTAGTCTATAGACTGATATCATTGTTCTTTACCATTTTGAACAGGTCTCTGACAACAGATTTTTCTAATACAATTTGTCTTTTGATTTCCTGGCTGCCGATTCTAAGAGTGTTGATTGTGGAACCAAGCAAGCTGAATCTGTTAACAAATTCAATCTCTTTACCATCTATCATGGCCCAGTTGTGAGAATCTTTGTCTTCATAATGTTGAGTGTCAATCTATATTAAAGACTGCAGTCCTTGACTTTCAGCAGCAAATGTTTCAAGACTTCCTCAGTTTGTGCAAGCAGGGTCGTGTCATCTGCATAACCAAAGTTATTGCTGAGTTTTCCTCCAATCTTAGTGCTATATTTCCCCTCATAAAGTCCAGCCTCCCAAATGATCTGTTCAGAAAACCGACTGAAAAGGTATGCAAACAAAAGTGTTCCTGACACAATCCTTTCTTGATTTTAAACCATGCAGTGTTTCCTTGCTTTGTTCTCACAACTGTTTTCTTCATCCAGGAATAGGTTACACATGAGCACAATCAGATATTCTGTGATTCCCATTCTTCTTAATGTTAAACCACAATGTATTGTGATCCACACAGTCAAATGCTTTTGAATAGTCAGTGAAATATAGACAGTCCTTTAGTATTCTCTGCTTTCAACCAAGATCCATTTAACATTGGCTATGATGTCCGGAATGCCACAGCGTCTTCTAAACCTACCTTGTATTTCTGGTAGTTTTCTATCAATGTACTGTTGCAGTTGCTTCTGGATAATCTTCAAAAGGATTTTTCTTGCATGTGATATTGGTGATAGTGTTCTATAATTTCCACATTCTGTTGGATCACTTTTTTTTTTTTGGACTGAGAATAAATATACATCCAGTCAATGGCCAGACTGTTGTCCTTCAGATTTTTTGGCACAAACTGGTGAGCTTGTGGCACCATCCATTGGCTGAAATATATCAACTGGTATTCCATCAATTCCTGGGGCCTATTTTCTGTCATTTCTTTCAGAGCTGCTTAAACTTCCTCTTTCTGCACCATAGGTTCTTGCTCATATGTTGTTTCATGAAATTCTTCTGTATCACTCAATTCTTTTTGGTACACTGACTCTGTATACTCTTTCCATTTTCTTTTGATGCTTCCTAGGTCATTCAATATTCCACCTACAGCATCTTTAAGTATTGTAACTTGGGGCTTGAACTTGTTCTTCAGTACCTTCAGTTTAAGAAATGCCAAGCAAATTCATCCCTTTTGACTTTCTGAATTCAGCTCTTTGTATATTTCATCATAACACTCTGTTAATGCACAGGGATTTGGTGGTATGGATCATAACAAACTATGACTAATATTGAGAAGAATGGGAATCGCAGGACTTTTAATTGTGCTCAGACAGAATCTATCTATGCCTAAACCAAGAAGTTGTCCAAATGGGGCATGGCAACACAGCATGTTTTAAAATCAGGAAGAATGTGCATCAAAGATGTACTATTTTTCTATACTTGCTCATTTCATATGCTGCGCAAAATATAATGTATGAAACTGTACCCTATGGGGAATAATGAGTATCGAAATCAAAGGTAGACTTATAAACAACTTATGTTATGCAAATGACAGAATCTTGCTAGCTGAAAATTAGGAAGACTTTAAATGCTTTCTGCCGAAGATCAAAGACTACAACCTTTAGTATGGGTTACAGCTCAACATCGTGAAAACAAAAGTCCTCACCACTGGGCCAATAGGTAACATCATGATAGATGGAGAAAGAAATGCTTGGATCAAAAAACAATTCCCTTGGTACCAGCAGTCAGGAGATCAGGAGACTCATCACATTGGGTAACTGCTGTCAGGGAGCTCCTAAAAATACTTAAGAGAAATTATGTCAGTCTGATTCATGTCAGATTGTGGTCCTTTCATATCCTATGCTTTTTTGTCTCTCTTCATTTGCTGTGCTTGGAGGGCTGGACACCAAATAAGGATGATAGAAGAATTGATGCCTTTGAGTTGTGACACTGGAGAAGAGTTCTAAATATCCTATTCATGAACAAAAGAACAAATAGATATATTTTTGGAAAAGCACAATCAGAGTTCTCCTTGGAGGCAAAGATGATGAAGCTTCATCTCTCATACTTAAGAGATGTTGCTAAGAGAAGGTATCTCCTGGAAAGGAAGACCATGCTTGAAAAGGTAGAGAGTCAGAAAAGACGAAGATCCCCAACTAGATGAATTGGTATAGTTACTATAGCAAAGGGTTCAAGTGTATCGGAAATGATGAGGATGGCAGCAGATAGGATAGGTGTCAAGATTTTTATTCACAGGGTTGCTATACATCATACTCAACTTGAGGGCACCTAACAACAACTCCACCACATTCATAGGACTTAAAATATTTGATGCAAAAGATCAAAGACTATAATCTTCAATATGGATTACATTCCAACATCAGGAAGACAAAAATTCTCATAACTGAGCTGAAAGGCAGCATTATAATAGATGGGGAAAAAGACTAAAATTGTCAATTATTTCACCTAACAACAAACATATATACTGACACCTTATACAATCTTGCTTGTTGAAGGGGAGCTCTGGTGGCCTAGTGGCAAGAAGCTGCAACTACAATCCCAGAGGTGCACGGATCGAATCCACCAGATGCTCTGCCGGGGAAGGAGGGGCAATCTCCTGTACCAGTCAGATCTGATTTGACGGTATACGCACACAAAAATAATAAAATTAAAAACAAAAACAAAACAAAACAAATCTTGCTTGTTGAAGAAGGGTTCATGAAAAATTTTCTGCAGCAGATCAAACACTATAATCTTCACTATAACTAACATCAAGAAGACAGAAACACTACTGGACCAACAGTCACATTGTGATAGATATTTTGAGAACAGTCTGTTTTGGAGAACTGCGCTCTTTAGAAGCAAAGGCATTGAAATTTCATATCATATACTTTGGGCATGTTGTCAGGAGGAACCAATCCTTGGAAAAAGGCATCATGCTGGGAAAGGTAAAAGGTCAGAGAAAAAAAGGAAGCTCTTCAAGATGACAGATTGATACAGTAGCTATATGAATGGGTTCAATCATATCAAAGATGGTGAGGATAGTTCAGTATAGGTCAGGATTCAGAAATGTCATTCATAGAGTCACTATAAGTCATCAACTTGGTGACACCTAGCAGTTCTTTACCAGTTCAAATCCACCAGTTGCTTCAAGAAAGATGTAGTTATAGCCTCTGAAAACCTTCTGTGGGTCATCTATGCGTCAGTTCCAGTTTGAAAATAATGTGTGAGATGTTACAGTTAACCACCTGCCAAAAGGAGGTTTTCAAAAATTTTTGTTGTTGTTGTTATTGTTAGGTGCCACTGAGTTGAGTACAACTCATAGAGACCCTGTGATCAACATTGATGAAAGAGAGGAAGAACTTTAACCAGATGTACTGACATAGTGTCTGCTGCAGTGAGCTCAAGCACGACGAAGAAAATGAGGATGCCACAAGATAGGCCATATTTCAGGTCTGTTGTTCACAGGGTCTCTTTGGAGTTAATAATAATGAGGCTTCACCTCACATACTTTGGACATGTTGCTAGGAGGGGCTATCCCTTGGGAAAGGACATGATGCTGAGAAAGGTGGAGGGTCAGCAAAGGAAAGAAAGACACTCTACCAGGTGGATTGACACAGTGACAGATGTAATGGCTCTTGTGTGTCAGGAAGTGTGAGGATGGCACAAGATAGAACAAGGTTCAGATCTTTTGTTTATAGGCTCAGTATGAGTAGTACTCAACTCGACGGCTTCTAACAACAAAAATATTTGGTAATCAAAATAAATCTGTAGATTATTTGCAATATTTTCCATGCAGCTAAATAAATGTACTTACCAAAGGTCAAGAGACATTTCCAGAATCAATTTAGTGACCTAAAAGAGATATAATTAGTGTCATTAAAAAATCAAGTTTGATATAATGTATGCTAAATTGAATAGAAATAACAGTGATTAAGATTTCAGATGCTAATAGAAAAGCTGGGGCTTCAAATCACAATGTCTTATATTTGTCTTCTCCAGATGCATGTTCCCTCTCTATTCATTAACAATTTTTTACTAAGACATCCATGAGCCTAACAAAACAATAAGATTCTTTACATAAAGGCAAAAAGAAAAAAGGAGAAGATGTGTGTGTGCCCTTAATTTTGAAGATTACATTATGAATTGTCATGGATTTTGTTACCGGACTTGGATCTTTATTTTAATATATGGTCCTAATGGATCATTCACCATACTCATTGCCATCAAGTCAACTCCTTTTAGGAGTTAATTATAAACCCTGTCACTTATGCATTAGGTTCAGACATGCTATGAAACATTATATTCACAACCTCTCCTTACATTTTACCTGGGACAAGTTATTCAGATAAAATAACCAAAAAAATTTTTCTTTTTTTGTTACAGTCAAGCACAATGACTCATTAACAATAAAATGTAAAAATGATTTTTTAACATAAACTTCGAAATATCAAACAAGGATCCAAGTGGATTTCTTAGAAATTGCTATAGCTAAGTATCAAATCCTTACAACAAAGTAAATTAACCCCACCCCCAACTCCCACCCAGGTTTTGCTACAGAATCAGCAAGTTCATGCCTACCCCCCAAAAAATAACCCCACAAATTAAAATAAGACGTTTTGCTAGTATAAAAACCACCAAGACCCAAGTAATAATAAAAAACTGAGTCCATTAATGCCTGTAACACAAAAACGTGCATGTTGGGGCCAGGTCCATCTTCAGAGGGAGAGACAGAGGGGTCAGGCAGACAGGGCAACACCCCCAAAAGGAAACAACCTCTTTCTTGTGAGATACTTAGAGTGGGAGCTGCTTTGTGGAGAATAAGAGGATAGAAACTACTAAGAAAAACCACCAGACTTAAACATAAATTAAAAGCAACGGTGTCTCTCTGGAGACTAAGGTCTGCCTGATATAGGCCATGGTTTTTGCAATCACTTGTTATGCATCAGAGAGTTGGACAATGACTAGGGAGGATAGAAGGAGAATTGATGCCTTTGAGCTGTGGTCCTGGAGAAGAGTATTGAATGTACCACGGACTGCCAAGAAAACAAACAGATTCATTCTAGAGGGGGTTAAACCAGGCTACTCCTTGGAAGCAAGGATTCTAGGGCTTCGTCTGACATACTTTGGACATGTTGTAAGGAGAGACAGGTCTTTGGAGAGGGACATCATGCTGGGTAGAGTGGAGGGACAGCGCAGGAGGGGAAGACCCTCTATGAGTGACTGGGGTAATTGGGATGGGTGTGTCAGAGGCAGTGTGATTGGCACAAGATAGAGCAGGGTTTAGGGCTGTTGTACATAGGGTCGCTATGAGTCACAAATGACTCGAGGGCACAAAACAACAAAGACAACAAGAAGCCACTTAGTGTTTCATAAGCTTTGCTGAGCCATTTTGAAATAATGAAACTAGAGAAAAAAAGTCTATTGCCTGTGTTCTGGAGGAGATTTAACAATAAGGAATTTTCTAGCTATGGCAAGTGTTAGATGCTTGTGACCAACCGAGACGATTTTATACAATGCTAATAAGCATAATTAGAGTACCTTTTGGGTCAAAAGTTATTGCCATAGAGTCATAACTAATTAATATCTGACTTTCCAGTGGGTTTTCTGAGATAGTAAACCACACCAGAGCAGACTGTCCATCTTTCTTTCTCAGAAGTTGGTGGATTCAAATTGCCTGACTTTGGGTTGGAAACATAACTCCTTATCCATCATACCACTAGAGTAAATGTATGCAAATAAAATGTGTAAATCATTAACATAGAGATTAGCCAGTTTTGCCATCCCACAAGGTATAAAATCTCCCTACTACCAAGAAAGAAGAAACAGAGTGTTGGTCCAAAGTGTTTGTGCAAGACAGAGTAAGACCAAGAAATAATGAGATCAAGCCATAAAAGCTCACACAGCAGTCCAGATAGCAGCAATGAGGCAGCATGGTAATCATAGAACAAGAGACAGATGTTAAACATCTGAGATGTGTTTGTTTACCCACAAAGCTGGAGTGAAGTATCTTTGGACCTACGCTTACTAGCAGAACAGAGTAGTTTTGTAGTATTTTCCCAAGCAAGGCTGAGGTCAAGATTCTGAGTCCAACAGACAGAAATACTTGCCTGAAAACATGACTGAGAAACGGCTATCGGACTTAATAATTATATTTAGAGTATCTCCAACCTGAATGGTAACCTGGTGTTTCCCCAATAAGTATCATAATTGTGAGCATCATCTGGACGTTCTGTGAGGCCGTTGCTACAAATTAGTGAACTTACTAGTAAAGTAGTAAGACAGGAGGAAGGAAGATCGGTACTTGAACTGATAGATGTGGGAGCATGTCTGACCTCACAGGGACTGTCTGTTTTGCTGCTGTTGCTATGATGGAGATTCTTCTTCCTTGTGAATTTTCTGACCCATAACTACAACGCTTTTTACAGCCTACGTCCTTTCAGAGGTCCTTTAATTATAAAATGATTGTACACAGGCGTATTATTTTAACACTGAAAATCTATTCCTGTAGTTAAGTACTCTTAAAAAATGTCAGGTCTTTCTTTATAATATACCACAATATTTACAACTATCACTTTCAAGAAAATATTGTTTTGAATTCTAATCCCATCTAATTTCCTTTATTCTTTATTTCTGGATTTATTGTTGTTGGCGTGTATTGTTGAGTTGGAACTGACCATAGCTGACCTCTAAGGGGTTTTCTGAGGTAATAAATCACACGCAAGGAAACTGAGCCTTGTCCCGAGGAGCAGCTGGTGGAGTTGAAAATTATACCTTTGCATTGGCCGCATAATCCCTTACCACTAAACCACCAGAGCTCCCTAGTTTTTATCTCAATAGAGCAAACTAATTGCCATCTGTGATTCAAAAGTATTTTCCATATTTTAATTTAATGATATTTCCTGATTATCTGTATTTACATGATAGAATAAGATGATATTTTTTTAAAAAGGGATTGTTTTTACTAATGATGGTGTTTCCATACATTTTTATCTCCATCCTATGAAGCGGGAATGAATGGAGATCTGGCAAAGAAACAACTTATATGACCAGGGGAAATTTTGCTCCTGTCAACTCAAGCTATGTCACAGTTAAATAAATGTTGCACATTTAAAATTGAGGAAGACTCTATAAATCTTGAGAAAGAAAATAGATGAAACCTTTCAGAAAGTAAAAAGGAGTAAAAAAGGGAAACACAGGGAGAAACTGGGTTGACAGCTGAGGCCTGCAATCAATTTCATGCAGCAAAATTATGTTGTATTTTTAAATAGAAAGGAACTTTGTTCTATAAACTTTCATCCAAAATATGTACTAATTTTTCAATGAAAAAGTTATCCTTTATGTAAAATTTTATCCCATTAATATTTTTTAAAAGACAATTCTTAGTAAAGCAAAAAATAGTACTCACCACTGAACTTTTTCTATTTCATTACACAGAATGTCAGCTTAAAAATGCCATACTCCTAGAAACATCAGTCTTTCTTAGATTTGAAAGATGAAACAATAAGCAATTGGTCCTATAAATTTGTTCCACTCTATTGCACATAATTTCCCACTTCAAGTTTAACTATAGCCCTCTTTTTTCTTAAGGTTCATTTGCCTATGGAAATCATCAGTGGAAATTCTACAGAAGTAGTTAGTCATTAACTTTCACACAATGAAACAGATTTCCAAAGGCATTACTAGCAAACCTCTCTATCTCTTCTCCATATGGGAATGAGTCAGACTCTGGTTTTCTCCCTACAACAAGATGAACACAATAACTACCACAATGGACTTGAGCTGACATAAATTATAAGAGGAAGATCCAGAATAGGGCAAAGATCTGATCTGTTGTCCAGTGTCCCTCTGTGAGTCAGAGTTGTCTTAATGGCACCTAATCAAAAAGAACAACCCCACCAATTTGAGCACTTCCCAGGTTTCCCCTTAAGAGCTTTTATTTAATCCTTCATTCCAAAGGTCCCTGCTGTGTGCGAGGCAGGTTCAACCAATAGTTAAATATGTTATATGTGCTCTGCTCCTTGGTGATATCCACCTTCAAAGATAGGATTCCACTAATATTTATTAAATGGCCTATATTTTTTAAAAAAGTTAATATATTACAAATTGGAGGGGGGAAGAAGACTCATTAAAGCTTCTATAATGTAATTGCTGTTATATACTGTTAAGTCAGAACTAACTCATAGCTAACCCTTTGGTAGGTTTTCAGAGGTAGTAAATCAAAAGAAGGAGATTGTTCATATTTCTCCTGTAGAGCAGCTGATGGATTTGAACTGCATGTCTTTGGACTGGCAGTGCAACTCTTATCACTAAGCTAAATGCACTCCTTCTTCAAGCCAAGAACTACTTCACCCAAGTTTGAACTCTGCTCTACATCAGTGATGGTGGCCTTCACCTCCTAAACAAAGAGCCCCTGCCAGTCTCACAAATTACAGTCTTGTTTTCTTTCAAAACCTCATTTTGTCTCATGATTTACTTAAAATTGTAGTCCAAGTCTTTTCACAGTAACACATATATTTCCAAAGCAATTATCCTGATTATAACTTACCATTGGGAATTCACCAACAACATTCCACTTTTAAAACACTTGCCACTATTGTATCCACATGCATTTTCAAGTGTGAATTACAAACAAATAATAATCAAAGAAAGAAGTCTGCCAAAATTAGAGAACTCACAAACCGTAGTCATGAGTCATTTTAAACAATAACATTAATTTCTAAAAAGGATGGGAAATTGAAACATCTATTCACCATAAACATCGCAATTACATCCTTCACAGTAGTCATCAATAGAAACTAATTTATTCCATATAAATCAAGAGCAAGCATAATCTATCTTACATCAAAACCTTAGCACTTCATGGTTTTCTTGAAGTGGGCTACTTTGTTTATTCAAAACATACTGTATTTTGAAGACACTCTGTCATTACCATCACTCATCTGTCAATTTGGCAAAGAATACTGAGTATACCACAGGCTATGAAAGAACAAACAAATTGGTGAGACTTCATCACATTTACTTTGCCATTTTATCAAAAGATACCAATCCCTGGAGAAGCTCATTTTACTTGATAAGTTAGAAGAATAACAAAAGAGAGGAAAACCCTCAGTGAGTTGCATTGACACAATGGTTACAATAGACTCAAGCCCAGCAGAGATTGTGTGAAGGCACAAGATCAGACAAGGTTTCAGTCTCTTGTACATAGAGATTCTACTTGATAGCACTTCAAAACAGCATCGTATACTTTATCATATCCACCAATTCCATCCATAGGCCTACTCAAAAGACTTGGGGAGACGCAAACAGATCTTGCACACTGATTGTTATTGTTGTTATTCACAATAGCCTAAATATGGAAACATTCACAGCACCAATCAATAAATGAATGGGTTAACAAAAGGTAGTAGAAAGGTACAATGGAATATTATTCAGCCAAAAAGAGAAATTAAATTCTCGTGAATTCAAGTCCTCTGACACTTGCTAATCTTCAATCTGTTAAGCCACTATTCCACTCACTTAACATTGACCCAAACTGTCTCCACACTTCCTCTCTTCCGTGATCACTCTACCCACCACATTCTAGTCATTTTCCACAGAAGCTCTGCTGTGATCTGCTCACTCATTGCCACTGTCTAGTCAAAACAGACTCCCAGCTCATCCGTTAGTGGGCTTTTGGAAGTTGTAAATGACACAAGAGGGGATATTATCCATCATTCTCCCTCAGTCCTACCAGTGGATTCGAACTACCAGAGATACACTACCTTTGAATTAGCATAACAACTCCTTAGGGACTGGGCCACCAACCAGGTCAGATGAACTACAGTAACTTTTTATTTTCAGTCTCATACTTTCTTTGTAACTTTACATACTATTTTTTCTTTTCTAATTCTTCTGAGGAAAATGTTAAACCCAGTTTCATCTAAATTCCTTTAGTACCTGGTCAGAAACCTTCTATGACTCATTGCTGTTGGTAAGACTGCATCCAAATGCTGAAATCTTGTGTTTAAGGTCTGATCCCAACTTACAAAACTTTCCTTGATGCACAAATACTCAACAGATTCATCTAGATACTATTTCTTGGTCATTTTGGTTTTCCTAGCCACATGTCTTTGTTGAAGCTGTTTTCTATGTAAAGACTGCCTTTGTTATTAGTTAACAAACCACATCCTTATCTACTAGCTCTGTCTTAAAGTCATTGTTTTGCACTGGAACCTACCATGATCTCCATGATTTTCTACAATTCCTGTGGTGTAGCAAGAACTAGAATTTTGGCCTGGCAAAATTTGTGTAGTGTTTATGTATATTTACAATAACTTGTGTGCATTCACATACCATCAGGTATTTAAACCATAACTTCTAAGTGAGAAATTAAATGATAGAGTGCTTCAAAATAATGCTTACAGTGTCATCAGTTTACACACACATGCTTTTTCCTCTCTAAACAGATTAATTCCTTGATGATGAAACCTTTTGTTGTTTTTCTAAAAAGTGTATTTTAAGACAAAGACTCAAACTCATTGCCGTTGAGTTGGAACCAAGTCACAGCTGATCCTCCAGAAGGTTTTTCTGCTGCTTTAAATCACATAAAAGGAGATACTTCCTCTTTCTGTCCCAGATGGATATGAACTGCAGAGAGGTGACACAGGATTAGGAGTAAACTCCTGACGGAGCATGCCATCTGAGCTCTTAGGACAGTGTGTGCTGAATTCTTCTCACGGCAATAGGTTATACAATCTATTGGATAATTGGTATTTTTCAATTATATCAAACTAGAGAGATTAAATATTAACTTTACATTATCATGATGATTTAATTATCTTTAAAGGGGGAAGAATTGAGGTTTTGAATGAATATAAACAAATGAAAAATAAAACATTTTTCTAGATCACTGACTTTCCAATATTAGAAAGGATCTTAGAACTAATTTAACCTAAATTTTCATATTAGAGATACAGGAAATAAGACTCAAAAGGTGGCATGGGTGGAGAGGGGAAGTGACAATACAAATGTTCTGAAACAGCATAAGAAAATTGAGTTTCCTTACGCCTGTTTTCCAGTTTCTATCCCAAATGGGTAGAGTAGACCCTACAGAATCTGAATGTCTCCATTTGGAGATTCTTGTTCTTTTTCCTGTGTCTTGACCACAGATATAACCCCATGCTGACTGAATATTAAGTTCTGGAAGACAAAATTGTAATGGAGTTTTTGCCAAATACATCTAGACATAAATTATTTACTCTGCTCTTGTCAAATCCAGGAGTCCTTTTTGGTTTACAAAATTGCCACAACCATCTTCAAGGTTTGTTTCAAAGACTCTTCTCCCACATTGTTTCTTCACCGTTAATTCTGATAGTCTCTATCAGGGCTGTAGATACATCATCCTTTCACCTTAAATGGCGGAACCTGATCAGGAAAGGTTAGCCACCTTGCACTGGGACTTTCCACTCTGCCCTCACTCAATGACTCTTCTGCCTCCCAGCACCATGGTTCACTAATTCAATGGACTGTCATTCAGATAAAAACTACAAAGGACTTTCCAGAACAAAGTAATGAAGGCAAGTTGTTTGGCTCACTGTTTTCTCAAGCACACCAAAGAAAATAATTATGTAAGCTGCTTTAAATTCAGGAATGCAAAAAGTCTTTTTGTAGAGCCCCTGAGGTTATCCTCATAATCATAGGAAATGACAGGAGGAGAGGAAATGTCTTTCTTTTTCTACAATGTCTTCGTTGACAATTAGTATTTAGATCATAGACTATAAGACAGGAAAAAGCAGTACCCTTGGAAAAAAGTCAATCCTTGCTTGCAAGGTCCCTCAAAAAATATTTATTAAGATCCTGCCCTAGCACCACACACTAAGCAAGGCCTGCAAAATTTACTAGCCTTTGACCACCTCTAAACCATTGTTCCAAAGTGTATCTGCCAAGTGGCTTACTGTGCACTGCTCCAATATGCTTTTCTCTTAAAAGAGAAACTCCATACTGTTGTAACATCACCTACCAGAATACCCATATGGAGTCTTGATAGCATAGTACTCAATATATTGTTCAGGTAACCAAAAGGCTAGTGGTTCCAATCCACCAGCAGCTCCAGGGTTTAAAGACAGGCAGTCTCTTCCTGTAAAGATTTATTGCCTCAGAAACCTATTGATGGGTTACTGTTAATCAGAGCCATCTCAGCAGCAGTGGGTTTGGATTTAATTTTTTATAATGTTCACAATACCTTGTTCTTCCAAGTGAAATTCTATTCTTTTCTAAAGATGCAATGCCAGCAAAACCAAAAAAATTTAAATGACAACTATATCAAGAGCAAACAAGGATACCGTCTTTAACATGTATCATTCTAAGCACTATCTGCATGTACCTTTGTACTATTTGTGTAAGTTTATAATAATTTGTGTGTGGTCACATACATATATGTTTATGTCTAATTACAGGGGAGCTCAGGTGGCATAGTCTGTAGGGATTTGCCTGCTAGCCTTAAAGCAGGGCCTGTATAAGGCTTCGAAACCACTAGCAGCTCCAACAGAGAAAGAGATACAATCTCCTCCTCTGAAGGGTCAGCTGTGAGTCAGTTCTGACTTCATGAAAATAAGTGTTTGGCTTTTTATCTGTTATACAACTGTATTTAAAATTTATTAATGCATAATTTGTTCTATATACAAGGAAGACAAGAGGTGCAGTAGATAAAGTGTTCAGCTGCCAATCAAAAGATCAACCATTTGAACCTACGAATCACTCCACAGAAAAAAGGTTTGGGTGCTTTATGGCACTCCCATAAAGATTTAAAGCCTTAGAAATCCTACAGATCATTTCTACTACGTTCTAGAAGGTCACTATGAGATGAAATTAACATGAAGGCAGTAGGTTATTATATTTGTAAAGATACAAAATAGTGTATACTATACAATGTATAAATTGGAAGTAGGAGTAGCATCCAATTCCAAAACAGCATGCCTCTTGAGAGATGACAATAGTTACAGAAAGGCTTCAGGCCTTTTGTTCATAGGGTCACTATGAGTCATGCTTGGCATGATGGCAACCAACAAGAACAACATATAAATGAATTACCTTATTAACTATGACTATTCCCTCTATCTGTAATATTATCTCCATTTTACAGGTGAATAAACTGAGGCAGAGAGGAATTAAGTGACTTTCTCAGGATAAAATAAAAGGTGTTGATTAATTTGAACCAAAAGAGTAATACAGTCTTTGGGTTAGCACAGCAACTGCCTACTAATTAAATCACTAGAGTGCCCGTGGAAAGATGACATTAATCTTCTATCAATTCTCCATAATGCTTCCTTTTTTTCCCCTAATTATTTCAGGCTTATTCAAAATGAAAATATTGTTCCACAGAAGCTTAATTTCCTAACATATTCCTTGGTGGTACTTTGTATCTCTGAGAAAATTTCATATCCTTCTGTCGCAAATTTCCCCTCTCTCTGACATTCTATTTCAATGTCACATCTCCCTTGATCCAGCTGAATGTGCTGAAATCAGTCTGACTCTGTAGTAAAAAGTCACTGCTTCTTGCATTGGCAAAAGGACTGGTTGTCTATATTGTAATTAGATTAGTCCTCGGATCACAGTTCATAAGTCTCAGAAAGAAAAAAAAAAAGATAAGAACAAGAAATGGCAGAGAAGATAATTACTTTCCTTTAAGCACAATATATTCCCTTCAAAAGCAAGTGAATAAATGCAAGCACAACCATCACCAGCATGAACAACAAAATTTCCAAGAACTAAACTAGATTTTTGAGAACACATAAATTTTGATCTGATGTGAATTTGAAATAAACCATTCATTGATACTTACTTGGTTGAAAGTGAAAGGAACCTCCTTCTTCTCACCCACTTCCAGAGATGATATAGGAAATGTTGCTCTCCCTACAGTTTCATCCATGAAATAGTTGGCATCCATTAATGTGATCTACAGAAAACAAAGAATAAAGAGAATACACTTACAAAGTTTATCTCTGGAAACTGTATCTAAAGTCTCTGTTTTGTTGTTGTTGATTGCTCTCAAGTTGAGCAAGACTCATAGTGACCCTATAAACAAAAGATCTGAAGCTTTTCTATAACTATCGTCATTTCTCGAAGTTCATAGAGTTTCCAGAGGCATGTTGTTTAGGAAGTGGATGCCACTCTTGCTTCCAAACCTGTCTTAAACTGGTAGCTCCAAACACTGTCCACTTTCTTTAACTATCGTCATTTCTCAAAGTTCATAGTTTCCAGAGGCATGTTGTTTAGGAAGTGGATACCACTCTTCCTTCCAAACCTGTCTTAAACTGGGAGTTCAACCAAACACTGTCCATCATGCATAACCATTATGCCATTTGACACCTCAGTGGCACAAGGTTCAGCATCACAGCAATCCCAAGTTACCTCAGTACAGAATATTGACAGAAGAATGTTGTACCACTTAAAAGAATGTTACTCCAAAATAGAGTAACAACAAACTCTTAAATACAAAGGCTCTCATAAAGAAGAGTCCTCAAACATAGTTTTATTCTTATTTGGGAATCTCCATTTGCAGCAGGCAACATGTGTCTTTTCCTTTTTGATATTACATTTGTTATAAAAATAATAATGGTTACTATTTAAAATTTCCAAATTGAATATCAACTAATACATCCACATATGTAGAGAAGGGAAGCAAAGTCAAGCATCCCTATCCATATGAATTTCAAGTATCAAACAGTTCCCAAAAGATTCACTTACCTCTAAGACATTTTCCTGATCTGGATCCAAAATAAATTCAAAGGTCTCATTCCACACAGGGTTCACATTGTTGTTGAAGTGCCTTGTTCTCTTCCTGCTGTCAGGGGTGGTGGAGATGAAAAGTTCCACGTAGGGATCCGGAGTGTCGACTATAGAAAGTTAAAAAAGCAAAACAAAAACCCCAAACCATGAGAAGAAGTATAGTTCTTTTTTTTTCTTTTAATCAACTATCATTAGGTTATTTTCAAAGTATCTGTAGAAATTTATTTAAAATGTCTACTGGATAACATAATATATATTACAATGTTACTGTTCTTGTTTTATGTCCCATCGAGTCGGATCCGGCTCATAGCTGACCCTTTAGCTGGTTTTCAGAGGCTCTAAGTCACATGACAGGAGATCTCTCTCAGAGCTGCTGGTAGATTCAAACCCATGTCTGGGGATGGCAGGGTAGCTTCTTAGCAATAGGACATCAGAGCTCTCTAAACACACATATTTTCCCTGTTGTTGTTATGTGTCATCGAGTTGCATGCAACTCATAGCGACACTACGTACAGCAGCTCTGAAGCCTGCCCTGTCCTGAACCAGTATCACTAATTCCAACATATCAATCCCCATTGCCCCAGATATTGCATCAACCCATCTCATCAGGTGTCTTCCTCTCCTGTGCTGTCCCTCCACCCTTCTGAGCATGATGTCCTTCTCCAAGGACCAGTGCCTCCCAGCCATGTGCCCAAAGTATGTGACATGGAGATTCAAATGCTAGACTATAAGGAGAAACTTGATTTCAACTCTCTCCAAGACAGAGACCTATTTGTTTTCTTAGTAGTCCATGGTATGTTCAAGACTCTTTCTCCAGCACCACAATTCTAAGTTATTGATTCTTCTGTCATCCTTAGTCTTTTTCCATTTCTCTGATGCATAGCAAGTAATTGTGAAGACCATGGCCTGGATTAAGCACACCTCAGTCTCTACACTAACATCATTGTTTCTCATTACTCTGGAGAGGCTCTTGACAGCAGATTTCCCCTGTGCAATTCGTCTTTTGATTTCCTGGCCCCTGGTGTCAAGAGTGTAAGCTGTAATTATTAACAACCAACGTCTTCTCCATCTATCATGGACTATCTAATTACTTATCATGTCTTTGTTCTTCACATTAGCTCTGTTGAAAGGGAATAAATTATTTACCTCCTCCATACATTAAATAGTCCTACCTAGCAGGAGTAGCATCCACTTCCTAAACAACATACCCCTGGAAACTCTATGAACTTTGAGAAATGGCGAGAGTTACAGAAAGGCTTCATGTCTTTTGTTCATAGGGTCACTATGGGTCATGCTCAACTTTATGGCAATCAACAACAACAACACAGCATCCAAATAATCATGAGGAATCTCACTCAGATAATATAGCATGATCTTCAACACAAGATACAGTATGATCCAGATAAAGTAAAACATTACCCTGGCTGTTTTATTTATCACAGAAAGCAGTGAGTTCATAATAAGCATTTGTCATACCACTTTCCTAATATGATCAAAAAGGTTGGGTACTGATATTTTGGTATTTATTTATTATAGCAATAATAAATTATCTTTGGTTGCCTATTGATAAGAAGCTGAGCTGTAATCCCTAAGACACACCATTCAAATCCACCAGCTACTCTGCTGAAGAAGAATTGGCAATATACTCCCACGAGATTAACTGCCTCTGAAAACCTGCTCGAAAGTCAGCTATGGGGTGGGGGTGGTTCTGACTCCAAAGTGTACAGCAACAACAATATAGAAATATTTAATCAAATGGAAATGAGATGTGTCAAGAAAGCTATAGCCATTTCTATTTCCCAAAACTTGCATTACAGTCAGGGCATCCAATGTGTGTAATTTAAAATAGAAATACTAGAAAATAGAGAAAATATTAACATTTTAAATATATACACTATATATAATCTTTTGCTGCCCATCTCTCAGTTTGTTTCACTGGTGCTTTATGTTGCTGTGCCTCTGAAAAATATGCTTCCAGTATTTCTTGGAGAGAGTGAAACCACGTCTCTCCTTGGAGGCTAGGATTTTGAAGCTCTGCCTCACTTACTTTGGGCACGTGGCCAGGATAGATTGATCTTTGGAGAAGGACATCATGCTCAGAAAGGTGGATGGACAGCTTAGGAGAGGAAGACCCTGAACGAGATGGATTGTTATAGTGACTGGGACAATCGGGGTTGCTGTGTCAGAATTAGCAAGACTGGCTCAGGATGGGGCAGGATTCAGAGCTGCTGTACATAGGATCACAGGCAATTAACAACAATAACACACTATGACAGGTTTGGAAGCAGGGGTGGCACCCACTTACTGAACAACATGCCTCCAGAAACTATGAACTTCAATAAATGTTGACAGTAGAGAGGGGCTTCAAGCCCTTTGTTCATAGGATCACAATGAGTTGTGGTCGACTCGAAGGCAATCAACAACTCAAAGAGTTATGTCCTAAAAGTAAAGTCTACCAAAATGAGTTTGATAGAGTAAGGCACTCAGCCAATGAAAAATCTTAATTATAACTCAAAATTAAGCTAAAAAGTTATAGATATCTATTAAGAATCAGAACACAGAATGTAAAAAGCATAAATCTATGAAAATTCGGAGTTGTCAAAAATAGAATTGTATCCATATAGCTTCTAGGTATTATTGCCGTTAGGTACAATCAAATTCACCACAACTCATAGCAACCCTGTGAAAAACAGATCTGAACCTTCTCCTGTCTTGTATCATTTCTACTCCCCTTACCCCAGTCACTGACTCAAACCATCACATCTGGAGTATTAATCTCTTGCATTGCCCCTCCACCCTTGCAAGCATGATGTCCTTCTCCAAGGATTGGTAACTTATGGCAACATATCCGAAGTATATCAGATGGAGTTTCAAAATTCTAGCATCCAAGGAGAAGCCTGATTTAGCTCTGATTTTAAACTATGCAGTGTTTCCTTGCTCTGTTCTGATGGCTGCCTCCTGGTCAAAGTATAGGTTTCACATAAGCATAATTAACTGCCAGGTATTCCTATTCTCAGAGTTAACCAGTTTGTTGTGATCCACACAATCAAATGACTTTTCGTATTCAACGAAACACAGATAGACATTTCTCTAGTACTCTCAGCTTTCAGCTAAGATCCATCTAATATTGGCTACAATATTCCTACTGCCTGCACATCTGGCAGTTCTCTGTTGATGTACTGTTCCCGTCATTTTTTGGTATAATTTTTAGTTCAGCAGGATCTGGCTTGCATGTGCTATCAATGATATTGTTCCATAATTCCCACACTGTTTGATAGCCTCTTTTTTTTTTGAATGGGAATAAATATTTTTTTTTTTTCCAGTAAGTTGGCAAGGTGGTTGTCCTCTAGATTTCTTGGCACAACTTGATGAGAACATCCAGGGCAGCGTCTGTCTGTTGAAATATGTCAATTGGTATGCCATCAATTCCTGGGGCCATGGTTTTTGCCAATTCCTCCAAAGTAGCTTGAACTTTATCCTTCACCCCTAGAGGTTTCTGATCATCTGTTGTTCATTAAATTCTTCTATGTCAGCCATTTTTTAAATTTTTTTTTTTTTTGTATAGTGCCTGCATATACCTACCATCTTCTTTTGATGCTTTCTTGGTCACTCAACATTCTGTCTATAGAATCTTAAGTATTGCAATTCAAGGCTTGAATTTGTTCTTCAGTTCCTTCAGCTTAAGAAATGCTAAGTGAGTTTGGCCCTTTTCATTTTCCAACTCCAGCTCCTAGCAAATTCCCTTATAGTGATTTGCTTTGTCTTCCCAAGCTGCCCTTGGAAATCTTCTTTTTAGCTCCTTCACATCTTGATTTCTTCCCTTTTCTCTGGCATTTCACTGCTCTAGAGCAATGTTCAGAGCCTACATTTTGGCTTTTTCTTCTTCCTCCTTTGTAATGACCTTTTGCATTCTACATGGATGATATTCTTGATTTCCTCCCACAGCTCATCTGTTAATATTCTAGGACTCAAATCTGTTCCTGAGATTGTCTTTGTATGCAGGAGAGATCAACTCAAGGTCAAACTTTAGTTCTTGTGGATCGGATTTTATTTTCTTTAGCTTCAGCTTGAACTCGCATATGAGTAGTTTAGATTGGTTCCACAGTCAGCACCTGGCCTCATTTTCACAGCTGATTTTTAGCTTCTTCAAAGATTTTTCCCACAGATGTAATAAAATAATACATACACATTAGGTTCATTTAAATCTCACAACAGTATTGAAACAAATACTTAATCTTAGTTTTTTGAGGTAATAGAATCTATTAAGAAATCTATCTGAGGTCATAGAGAGTAAATATCAGACCAAAATCTAGAACTTAAGATGTCTGACTGACACAATCATACCCTGGATGATTTCATACTTCCAGGTAACAAAGATTAGATAAGAAAGTATGTATTGCAATGAAAGGTGGGGCTGAACTGAGACTTTTGAAAAATGAGAGAAAGAAAAAGACATGAGGGAGTATAAGACAGAGATAGAGAAAGTGGTGTATAGTTAAACAGAGAGAGAAAAAGATTTTTAAAAGATGAAAAAAAAAGGAAATATAAAAAATAGTGTCTAAAATAATTCTTTTTCAGGGCAAATTCTCTTTAGATATAACTGTCCTTCAAGAACTACTATGGTTATCATATAACTTGCTCACAGTTCTTTTGTATGGCCATCAGATCTTTCAAAACTATGCTTTTGCTGCCCTGGACCTGTCAGTACCACAGGCGTGGCCACTCTGCTTTAACTGAGGCATCAGGGCAAAGAGGAAGTGGCTATTTCTACACTCAGTGTTCAACCCAGTGAGCTCTCAGAATGGTTTTTAGCCTGACAATCCTGATAAAAATTTAAAAAAGGACTACCATTTTTACTTAAATTAAGAAGATTTAAAAGAGAGGTATGTACAGTTAGGATTCTTTCCTATGTCAATATATGCCTTGAAGTGTATGCATCACTAGTTAATGGCATAAAGTCTCAAAATTTGCAATGCAACAGAAATATTATTGTTAGTTGTTGTTGTTATGTGCTGTCAAGTTACCTACAACTCATAGTGACCCTACGTACAACAGCCCTAAACCCTGCTCTATCCCTTGCCAATCTTAGTGTCTCTGACACACTTAC